AAGGGGCAAAGGGAGAGGGAGAAGCAGACTCCCTACTGAGCAGGGCGTCCAACGCAGGGCTTGATCCCAGGACCCCAAGATCATGACCTGAGCCAAAGGCAGACGTTCAACCGACTGAGCCACCCAGGCGTCCCTGCATGTTTTTAAAATTGAATTAGCCCATGGGGCGCCTGGGTGGCTCAGATGGTTAAGCGTCTGCCTTCGGCTCAGGTCATGATCCCGGAGTCCTGGGATCGAGTCCCGCATCGGGCTCCCTGCTCCTTGGGAACCTGCTTCTCCCTCTGCCTCTCTCTCTCTCTCTGTCTCTCATGAATAAATAAAAAAATAAAATAAAAAATAAATAAAATCTTAAAATTGAATTAGCCCAACATATTGGGAGATACTGTACAAATGGAATAATTCTTACCTATTACTATACCTGATGAGACATCTCACCAACCCCTAAAACCATCATTCACCCCCAAACACTACCCTGGACACATACACATAAATCTCAAATATTCCTTTCATTTAATGATCAGGATGTTAACACTCAAGAATTATACCAAGAATGAACAAGAATTCATGTTTTAAAACATGTCTTTGCTATTTCAACCTTCTCCACAAGTATTTGTTCTCTCTTTAAAATCAAATAGATATTATTTCAAGACCATTTCTCCCACCAAATTAGCATGAAACTTACTGAGAAGCTTGACTAATCATATCCTCTTTTCAAATCCCAAACAAAGCCCAAATGTTCCCTATACCAAGGGATGCCTTTATTAGTATGCACCCAGGCTTTCACTGTTCTTCCCAGGAAAACCTATTACCAATCTAAGATTATTTTAAATCAAGATGAGGTCATAATTTTTAAAATGTTCTTTATATATCTAACATTAAAGATACATCAAAGATTTTGAAATCAAAATCTGAAGTAAGTTATTTTTGTCAGATGGGTATTAAGGCCTAAGAGGCCGTTGAGACCATACAGTGGTTCTAAGCTCTAATACTATTGTTATTAATAATTCTCTGTGGCATCCCAGGAAAAAAAAGTTCTAATCTTGCAAAGGTCTGGAATATAACCTAAATTCCATCAATGACTACTTCCTAAATAACGTGTATAATAAGATGAGTTCCAAATGCCAGTTAGGCATAGTGGTGATGAAGAGCAGGCTGTATATGCAGAGCCTGAGTGTCTTTAACTCGTTAATTAAAGGTGTGAAAGCAAAAACTTCATCAACCTGCATATAAGAAACTTTTATCGAACAATAAGGTTTACTATATGTACACAAATATTAAGGAAAATAAAAATGTTGTCAAACACCTAAGAAGAATCATAAGCCTTCTGATTCTAAGCAATGTTTCCTTCTGTCATCACAGAAATACTTGATAAAATATGCTGCTTAAGACCCTATTTCATAATTTAATCATTTTTACTCTTAAGATATACTCTAAAGAACTAATTTTTCCTTTTTCTTTATCTCCTTCAATCCTATATCACACTGCTTTCATGGCCATGTTAGTATATGGCACTAGATTATATCAGAATGCTAAATAAAATTGCTTGTTCTTCATTGTCTTCTTCCCATTTTGGTCTCATCTCCATGCCTCCCACATCTTTCACCATTTTCCTATTTCTCTTATAGGTATGTCTAATTTAATTCAAAGTGAATATAAACGTTCTGGATGTAGCAACACTGTTAAAAGTAAACAAGAACTAAAGTCAATTACTACTACATTCACCCCCAAAACAAGTCAAGAAAGCATGTGAGGGGTTATTTCTTTCTATGGGACTAAGGGGAGCGATATCACTTGTTCATTCAACTCAAGAGCAGAGGGAAGAGTGGCCAGCGCAAAGATTCACTCACTCGAGGATTACAGCCAGGATCCAATTCTCCACACTGAACACAATCCTGTGTACCACCCATCATCCGCTAGACCTGTGGTTCTCAACAGGGGACAACTTTGCCCAGAGAAAACTTGGCCATGTCCAGGGACTTTTTGGATTGTCATGACTTGGGGGAGGGGATGGGTAGTTACTGGCATCCAGTGGGTAGAGACCAGGGATGCTGCTAACATCCTACACAGGCATAGGCCAGCACCATCCTGAATTATTCAGCCAAAAATGAGAATGAGAAACCCTGACCCAAACCTTTGTGTTCCAATTTTTAATAAAAATGCAGAACAGCAGGACCACAGGCACCATGGTGGTGCAAAAGGACACAGAATTAGGGGAGAAAGGAAACTAAAAATTACTGAATATCTGCTACATAACAAGCCTTGCTTTAGTCACTTTACATGCATCGTCTCCCTTAAACCCTCTGGCGTGAAAAAGTGATCTATTCTCATTTTACAGATGAGAAGGCCGGACTTGGGGTGACTGCATATGCAGAGCTTAAGTGTCTCTAACTCATTAATTAAGGGAGGTTAAGGAACTTATTCAAGGTCACCCAGCTATGAAGTGGAGGAATAAAGACCCAAATTCAAACCGAATCTGTTTATAAGCCTAGAGGTTAAAAGACCTGGACTTGATTCAAAGTCACCACTATGGATTTAAGCAAGTCCCTTAACTTCCCTAAACCTCCATTTGGAAATAAATCAATGGATAAACTGTGTGAAAATATAAATAGGATTGTATGTTGTTGCCAATCAACATACAATCCTATTAAACATTCTACAGTGAAAAAGTACTTCTTAGAATTGAGGCATCATGATTACCATTTTTCCTTAAAAACAGAATTTATACATGTGCACAGTACTAAATTAGTCAGCATTTTTAAGAATCAAGATTAAGTGTTCAGAAGACCCTGCCTTCTGCAGTCATGCAACTACTCTTAAACCCTAGGAGGAAATAAACTAACGTAAGCAACATTTTAGTATGAACTTCCTAAGATTTTTAATCGACCAAACCTAAAATGCTCAAGACTATCACCAACTTTGGTTGGGCTCTCTCAACAACTGGTAGCAGAGATCATGATCCAAACTAAGGAAGAAGAGGATGGATTATAAATTCATTACCACTACTGCAAGGAAACTACTATTCTCTCCAAAAAGATAGAGTATTACATTGAGGTCAAGATAGTATCACTCATACTAATGATACAAAATAATAATAACAATAAAAATTGATTTCAACATGAGATTCTGATTTTTTTTTGACTCTCAGCAGAATATATGAGTCTTTGACAACTAAACTACTAGTAGGTCCGTAAATGTAACTTAAACCACACTCTTCTGGGATAAAGTTCAGGAGAAAGAATGTAAACTCCTGTTTGTTTCTTCCAGAGGTCAACAAACATTACCAATGCTGCTTCTAAAGAGGGCTGCACACAACCATTTTTCCCCTTGAAATGCCAGATTCCAAGGTATGGTTTTGCCATATTTTATAATAAATGTATCTTGGCATATCATGTTAATATGTTGTAAGTAAATTATAATACCAAGTATTTCCCACTAACATTGTCCAAGTTTAAAAACAATAAACACATCAGGGCGCTTGGGTGGCTCAGTCGTTAAGCGTCTGCCTTCGGCTCAGGTCATGATCCCAGGGTCCTGGGATCCAGCCCCTCATGGGCAGGAAGCCTACTTCTCCCTCTCCCACTCCCCCTGCTTGTGTTCCTCTCTCGCTGTGTCTCTCTCTGTCTAAATAAATAAATACAATAAATACATCAAATAAACTAAAAACGATTTGAAATCAAATAATTTGCAGAGAATTATGAAGAATAGATTTAAGTAAATAAAGTTCTAAAATGTGTTTACCTGACACACACACACATTTTAATGTTCTGGGGGAAGTGAAACAATTGATAACTAAAATCTTGAATGTTTTTTATTTTAATCAATTTAGATAAGGATTTGCATTAAATGTCATTTTACTGACTAATGAGTTACATCTTTCACCTTAAGCATTTTGACACTTCCATCAACTTTCTAAAAGTGAGGGCGGATTATTTCTCTATGTTTTTAATATACTTGCCTCTCAAAAGACTGAATTATAAAAACTGATAGGAGAAACCTATTATCAATCCCCTCATCATCACTAAATCTCTGAGTAAGCCCTAGCTACATAATAACGTAAATTCTCGAAGAATTTACGTTAGACAATAACCAAACTGAAATCCATTTTATCTGGTTTATCTGACATCCTGTCAACTTTTGACTTGACAAGGCTGTTTTTTTTTTAATCACAACAAATTTTAACACGCAGGTAAATAGTAGTTATTTTATAACTTTCAGGAGCTAGAAATAATTATTTCGTCTCCTCCTGTTTCTCCCAATTCTCCTCAGGGCTTTTTATATTTCCAAACCGAAAGAATTTGTTGCCAAATATTTAAAAATACTATTAGCTGACTACTCATTCTGAAAGGTGTAATTTTCCTGACAGCAGAATTAACTATCCTTGACGAGATCTCACGTGAACCTTTCATAGCACCTACCACATCCCAAGTAAATAGCCCTGGCATGTAAGTATGTATACATAGCTTATCATGAAAAGGACCCAACCCACTCCATCTCCCCAACAAGACGCGGGCAGCTCTCCTATGACAGTCTGTACAATTACCAGCACCTTAGGCAGGTCCGCGGCTGGGGGGCGCAGGCCCGCCCGGACGCTCCCTTCACAATCCCTCTTTGTGCCGCTGCCGGCCCCCCACCCCCTGCTCCGACCTACGTGGGGCCCCGCTAGACCACAGCGCCAGCACCACCAGCGCCCCCCCGGCCCCCGCCCGCCCCAGGCCCGGCTCCTCCCGGGTCTCCCTCGGGAGGTGGGCGTTCGCGGGGCGGAAGGGCGGGGCCCAGGGACTGCGAGGGGAAAGGGGGGCCGCGTTGGGGGGTCCTCCTATCGGAGGTGGGGGTCGCGCGGCCGGAGGGCAGGGCCCAGGAATGCGAGCGAGAAAAAGGGGCCGCAGGGGGTCCTCCTGTGGGAGGTGGGGGTCGCGGGGCGGAAGGGCCCGGCCCCAGGCTGCGAGGGAAAGGGGGCCGCGGCCAGGGTTCTCCGTGGGGGCGCCGGTCGGCGGCCTCACCCGCAGCGGGGGGCGGCTCTCCCGCGTCGTCGGGCGCTAGGGTGACGGCGCCGTCCCTCCAGACGCGGATCTGCGCGGCTGAGCGCACGCGGCGACGGGGCTGGCGGCGGCCGGCGTCCGCGGCGCGCAGGGACCCGCAGCACTGGTAGCACACGGCCCACGCCTGCTCCTCGTTGATGGGCTGGTTGTAGAGCCGCAGGATTTCCTCCAGGCTCAGCGCGTCCGGCGGGCCGCCAGCCGCCCCGGAGTCCGGAGGCCCCTCGCCGCCCGTTGGCTCCGCCCGGGGCTCCCCGCCGCCTGCCGGGCCCGCCGGCTGAGCCATCCCGCGGGTCGGCGCAGCGCTCCGCCGCCGCGCCGTGTGCCAGCGTCTCTTCAGCTCCGGAGCATCGTCTCGGCGCGCCGCCGCCTCCTCATCCACGGAACCGCCCCGCCCAACCTGGCCGCGCGCGCCGCCGTGGGGGGACCAGGCGAGGGACTGGGCGAGGGCCCGGCGGCCGTGGGCGAGTGAAGAGCGGCGAGGACGCCGCGGCCGTCCTGACCAGGCCGCCGCTGCCGCCAGCCCGTAGCGACGCGATGGCGTCCGCCGGCCCCGCCCCGCGCCCGCCGCGCGCTCAGTGCCGGGGCTGCAGAGCCGCCCCGGCGGAGGTCCGCACCACCGAGAGCTCGGGCGTGCGCTCCGTCGCCAAGCTGACCGCGCCGAGCGCAGCCATTCCTCGCCAAGCTGGGAGGCCACTGGCGCTGGATGCCCCTGGAATTGGCTCGCTGGGAGGCTAGTTAGGAGCTCGAACCCAGCCTGGAGCAAATTCCTAATAAAGATCTGTGAAACCGCTCCTGCTCCGGCTCCCCCGGCCGCCCCGCCTGCTCCCGCCCACCGTCGGACCGTCCTCTGGGCGCGGGTCCTGCGCCTCTTTCAAGCCTCCACACGGTTTCTCCTGACCAGCCGACTTCGTACTGCGCCCGGCCTCGCCCCTACACCATCCCCCGGACCCTCCTCTGCTCTTTTTGGGGTAGCTGTCGCCATCAATATACCATATAATTTACTTAAATGTATTATTTATTGAATAGGCCCTCCCATCTTCATTGTAAGCCCCGTGAGGACAGGGACTTTTTTATGGGTTTTGCTCACTGATTTCTCCCAAGCGCGTAGATCAGGGCCTGGGATACAAACATGTTGTAAATAATTTGTAGACATTAGTTTCAGCGTCCTTCCGGATTCATTTTGTAACGTTTGTACAACTCCTAAGAACGTCTCCAGTGATCACACTCATCATAGTCCTGATAACCCAGTAAGTTCAGACGATGTGGAATTAATATCACAGTGGCAACACTGAACTGAGGGCAATAAGCCATAGAATAAAAAATACAGCACTCCCCAGAGCCTCGCTGAGTTCATTAAGTTATACGGTATAATTCTTAGATAAAATAACCACTCATTGGTAAATGAGTTTAATTGGTAACTTTCCACTCTGAGGCTAGTCCTGTGTAAGAACCTGACAGAGCTGAAAGTATCCACCAAATAAGAAATTTTTAACTACCAATTAAACTTGTAAGGCAGTTCTGTGTGTAGTATTAGATCTCACACTCTTAACAATTGCTTTTTTTTTTTAAAGATTTTATTTATTTATTTGAGAGAGAGAGAGAAACAGCATGAGAGGGGAAAGGGTCAGAGGAAGAAGCAGGCTCCCCGCTGAGCCGGGAGCCCGATGTGGGACTCGATCCCAGGACTCCGGGATCATGACCTGAGCCGAAGGCAGTCGCTTAACCAACTGAGCCACCCAGGCACCCTTAACAATTGCATCTTGCAGTAAAAATTACAAGGGTCTCTTATAAATGCTTAAGATATCACAGTAAATACAGCAGTAGTGGGGGAGAAGAGAGAAAAGCAAAAGGATGTTTTTAAGAGGAATTGAAAGGGGAGAAAAAAGCTTCTCCCTAGTCACCTTATTATAATTTCACTACAAGAGATGCGAAAAACCCCTTAAGTAACATCAATTATAGGTTCATAATCCCATTGTAAAAATGCACTCTGTGTGCCAAAATCTTGAGAAGAAAGGTCTAATTCCTTAAATGAGATAGATAGGATGGATATAGATATGTAGATACATAAAACCTCTTGAATGAAAAACTGGGAAAAGATACCCAAAATTTGCTATCTTAAAAGTTTAGATTTTGTGTGGATTTTGAAAATACAGAGGGCTTTAAAACAGTTTGAACGATGCAGAAAAACAGCTAAATGTCTACTCCTAGGGACAACACCACCATCTCCTGGCCTAATTGGATGTTGCTGTTCCATTGCACTTTGAGAGCTACAACAAAAATCAATTACATTTTTATCCATACCTTCACTCCCCCTACAAAACACAAGTTAAATTAATTAATCAACTAATGAATCAATGAGCCAGTCCCTTGCTAGTCCTGGTACAGGGTAATAAATAAATCTCCAAGTAAAGATAACAGTGAAGGGAAGAAGGAAGGGAGTGGAGGTGGAGAAAAAGAAAAATCCAAATTTTACCTGAAAAAAAAATTTTTTTTAAAGATCTTATTTATTTGACAGAGAGAGACACAGCGAGAGAGGGAACACAAGCAGGGGGGAGTGGGAGAGGGAGAAGCAGGCTTCCCACCAAGCAGAGAGCCCAATGTGGGGCTCGATCCCAGGACCCTGGAACCATGACCTGAGCCGAAGGCAGACGCTTAACGACTGAGCCACCCAAGCGCCCCAAAATGTTATTGTTTTTAAAAGATGTATTCTTTAACACAAATTCACAACAGAAAGATTTTTTCCTTTCCTAAGTGATAATTTTTAAACATACATTTTGGGAAGAAAAACATTATGGCATTGAATCACAGGAAGGTTATATAAAATAGGGCTTTTTTTCCCCAGATACTACACTCATGACTGATATACTGTATTTAAAGTAAATTTCTTGCCTTTGAGAGCTTATATGGAATTAAATTGAGGCAAGATGACAAGCACAATGTTGTTTGATATATGCAGAAAAAGATCTTAAAAATCCTAGCTATCTTCTATTATAAATCTATTTTATAACCTGAACACTTGATACATTTTTGTACAAAGACAGTATAATTTTTATATGATTTTCAGAACCCTTTGAAATCTTGATTAGCCCCACGTACGTCATCATAAGACTCTGAGAAAGTGACTGCTAATAACTCAAGACTATCAGGAGTCCAGATATTCTCAGGACTCAAGCAGGACTGTGGAATAACTTGGAATAACCTTCCCATTTTCTCATTTTCGATTCAAATTCAAAGCTTAGAATACCTTCTTATACAGTATATTTTGTTCCAATGTCTGTCATTGATTTTTTTATTCTTGGCTTCACCACTTAAAAAAAATTACTCCATATATTAAAAATGTCTGATAATTCAAATCAACATGTAAATGTCTTTTTCAAAGTGCTGTTAAGATCTGTGAAAAATAGTGGCATGTGTTACTCAGAATATGATTTTAGTTTTCATTGATTTTGTTGTTGCATTTATTAAAAATGGAATCCTTGAAATTTTTTATCTTATATTTACTTATCATTTTTGCAGAATAAATGTACTTCATGCTTCATACTCTGGACGTGCTGGCTGAGCTGCTCTGAGTCTTTCAGGGAGCAAGGCCTTCAGGGAGTACAATCTGCCTGTGCAGCCCAAGCTTAATCCAGTCACTCCCAGACAATTGCTCCTAAGAGGCACATTCACCTAGAAAGTGCACCAAAAAGGAAAAAATAGAACAGCATATTTTTTTCAGTGGCATAACCTAAATTTTCATTGCCCACAATTATAATACTTTATAATTTTAAAGTGATAATTTTATACTTTCAAAGTGCTTTCTTCAGTTATACAACTTGAAGGTCAGATATTACTATCCCTATCTTACAAATGACAAAATATAGGACTAGTAAATGAAAGAGGTGGGACTGGAATCCAGGCCTCCTGACCAGCTCAGCTCTTTTGGCTACTTATATCTCTCTACATTTGCACAGAGCAAGAAAAAAGTCCTCATACTTCATTCCTCACTCCAGCAAGCAAGAGTAGTACATAAAAAGCAGATGCTTTAAATTTGTACATACCACTACTGATCAACCAAACTTTTGATATTTTAAATACCTTGTGTGAATAATGTGACACCCCATCTCCCTCCATTGGTCCTTGTGAGTTCACTGGCATTGGGTTTCACCATAGTGGTGATCTCCCCATAGTAATTATCTTCAAAGTGATCTATAATAACTCCATCCCCATCAAAGAATTGCAAATTATCACTCCCCTAAGAAGGCTAATTCCATCAACAATCTTAAATGCAATTTGAAACTCATCTCTTGTAATTTCAATAACCAAACTAAATATTAACCGCAAATCTTTAAAATTAGTCATGAAAATTAACATGGGACCTCATACATAGAATCAGAAGTACAAAGACCAGATAAGAACACAACAAAATTGGATTCCTCTGGTCTATAAATTTGTAAAAGAATTAACTTTTCTATCCAAAGGCAAAGATACTGAGAAACATTTAGAAAATACCTGTGAATGCCCTTTTACTAAGTGGTACCCTAAACCAGTGTTTTCCACAACATATTCATTCTGTAGCATCTAACATATTCAAAATTTACCTATCCTACCTTGATGAGGTCAAGTTACATACCCACTGATAAAAACTGAGAAAAAGTAGAGGAACAAGGCAAAATATCTGAACAGTAGCATATCAGTATGTTCATGAAGGATTTTGGAAAATACTAGGTCAAACAATAGTCATGTTTCACTTTATTAATGTGATTCTCCTTTGAGCAATTATTTTTAAACCAACAAGGACAGACAGTCTTCTGATTCTGAATATAAGTGGAATTATTAGCTTCAATTAGTAAAGAAGATTTGATTTGGAAAAGACCTCATAGATCTAAATTTGAGGCCAAGCCACTATTTTACACTTATAAAAATTTGTGTCTGCAAGGTTAAGTGACTTACCCCAAATTACCGACAGTTGCCAAAAGTACTTCAAATACACTTCCTTTAACATAAGCTTTCCAGATCCTGTTTTTTAGCCATATTACCTACTTCTCATCACATTTCAAGTTAGGATAAGCAGTAGCTTATTTCTTAATTCTAATGGAAAATAGGAAACAATACAGGGCACAAAAATATCTTTATTTGATAGCAAAATTTTGATGTTTGACAATAATTGCTTGAAAATGTAGAATTCTCAATAAAACTTTTAAGAAACCAGAATTTTAGGTTGTGTAAGTTAAAGAGAACGCATTTTCAGACTGAAGTCATACTTTGTTGATGAGACAAAGCTAAAATATTTTTCAAACCTCC